TTAATGACGAGTGTAATAATTTTTCGTCACAAATGTTGATATCAGAACTTTTGTATGTTGAAGGTGCGATCGTCACTAGTTTTTTACCTCGTTAAGAGGTGTTTTTATTTGATTTTCAAAAAATTGACTTGTTTGTCAATTCAAGTGTACTCATGCAGGACTCTACCTTACATCTGTTGTATTATTTTCCCTGAATATAAGGTGTGTTTCAAAATTATACGACACCAACACACTTATTTTTTGAAAATTTGTAGAGTTGTTGTTGTTTATAAAAAGCGAAACATTTAAATGCAGATCGAAAGAACAATGTATGATGTGTACGAAAAAAAATACCACGCGTCCTTGATCCTCTTTTTAGGGACTTTGTGCGATCGTTTCATAATTATACGACACCATTGATTTTTTCCGGTTCCAATAATCAAACTTAACCGAAAATTTTTTCTGGTTAAATATAAACTAAAAGGTTCCATTTTGAGCGTAATCCAGCCCAAAGGTCCTTTCAATCTTCAACCCAAACATAAATATTGAATATGTCTCTCTACACCTTAAAAAAGTAGTTTTTCGAAGTCATATTCCACAATTCGTCTTAACTTTTGTCTGGTCAATATTCTTAACCCTTTTGAATCAAATAAAAATCCTGTTCAGTTCATTACGTGCACGAAACAGACCTAAAAAATCATTTTTTTATGAACTGCCCTTTTGGAACAAAACTGTTTTATTCCAAAAATATTTGATTTTGGGCGATACTTTCTGTCCAAATGCAAAAATTTGTTCTTCAAAACCTTAATAAACTTTCCACATTTCACGATTGGAACATTTAAAACGCGATCCCAGTCCGCGTCACTTTGAAGTTTTTTCGAAATTTTTTCATACGAATTTGAGTGTTTCCTTCATGGGATTTCATTTAGGAGCGTATACTTGGCATCCGTTTTGTAATGTTCCAGCATTAAATGTGAAAAATTGATTAAGGTTTTAAAGAACAAATTCCTTCATTTTGAGACGTAGTATCGACCGAAATCAAATATTTTTGGAATAAATACAATTTTTTCCAAACACGCAGTTTTTTAAAAAATGATTTTTAAGGTCTGTTTCGTGCACGTAATACACTGAACAGGATTCTTATTTGATTCAAAAGTGTTAAGAATATTGACCAGACAAAAGTTAAGACGAATTAGGGATATGACTTCGAAAAAAAACTTTTTTAAGGTATAGAAAGAAATATTCAATATTTATGTATGGGCCGAAGATTAGAAGGATCAAAGATCCAGCCCAAAGCTGGATTACTCTCAAAATCGAATCTTTTAGTTTATATTTACCCAGAAAAAAAATTTCGGGTAAGTTTGATCATTGGAATCGGAGAAAATCAATGTGTCGTATACTTATGAAACACCTTAAAATCAAGATTTTGTTATAACTTATGCCACGGAGGCAAATATTATATTATTTTCACATTAAATTCTCTGTTTTATTATAACGATTAAATACAAACACAATCACCTTAATACGACTTTAAATAAAAAAAATATTTAAGAAATTAATGGTGTCGTATAATTTTGAATAACACCTTAATATACCCTTTTACTATACGAGTAACGGGTAGAACTAGGTTTGATCGTACATTCCACATACTAAAGTTTTGATATCAACAAAATTATAACTTTTTTGAAATGTACTTACTCGCTACCCGGGTGGGAAGAAAGTTCATTACACCAGTAAAAAGAAAAATCGATGAAATATATCATGAAAGAAACCTTTGTTTTCCGATAAGGTACGTCTTCCTGATTAAGAAAATGGCACTTAAAATTTTTTTTATGGATCCAATTTTTTTTAAAAGTGTAAAAAACGTTGTTAACCCCATTTTTATTTCAACCATAAAAGACTCAAACTTTCTTATACACTGCATTGAGTTCCATTCATTAGTTTAGAATCTACACTTCGTCAAAGTTAAAAAAGGTAGAAGGCTCTGCCAAAGGCCTGGACAAGGCTCTGCATAAGATTCATGTGAGTAGCATTTATGTACCAACAGACAAAATTATGTATTTTATTGTCAAATCGGTTAAATCTAAAAAATGGATAGCGATACAACCAAAGAAATAACTTCTTCGACGAAAAGCATGATTTCCAAACAAACTTCAAGTAAATAAGAAAGTTTTCGCATCCACCTTTCAGGGTCTTTGGCACCAAAAAATTGACTAACTTTCATACAAATAATTTCGGTTTTTAGGCGAGTATTTTTAACGAAGGCATTTATGCAGCATTTTTCCATTTTTTCTAACTTTTTCATCTTTGACGAAGTGTAGCTTCTAAACTAATGAATGGAACTCAATTTCGTGTATAAGAAAATAGGAAAGCATTTTATTACCTGTAAAATGAGTCTTTTATGGTTGAAATCGGTAAACCACAACTTAAGTTAGGAATTAAAAAGTGTCAAAAACGTTTTTTACAATTAAAAAAAATTGGCTCCATAAAAAAAATGAATGTGCCATTTTCTTAATCAGGAAGACGTACCTTACCGGAAAACAAAGGTTTGCTATCAATAATTTTTAGATTTTTCAACTCTCTTAGATTAATGTAATATATATCGAATAAAAGCACCTCTTAACGAGGTAAAAAACTAGTAACGATCGCACCTTCAAAATACAAAAGTTCTAATAGCAACATTTGTGACGAAAAATTATTACACTCGCCATTAAATAGACTTTCTAATATTTTCTCATTCGGCCCGCCCTAGCAAACTATTCCAGCCTCTTTCCCTTCACAGGCATTTTCTATTGCAGCGTGCCGAATGAGTGTATTTAATGACGAGTGTAATAATTGTTCGTCACAAATGTTGATATCAGAACTTTTGTATGTTGAAGGTGCGATCGTCACTAGTTTTTTAGCTCGTTAAGAGGTGTTTTTTTTTGATATTAGAAGTTTTTGTTTGTTTACATTTGCTCTCATAGGAGCTAATATAAACATTTAAATTTAAATTGGTCAATCATAATTTGTAAGCCATTGTATTTAAACGAATTAAGTTAAACAGGCGATGAAGTATATCAAAATACGTTTTAAACGAGGTATAGCACATGTCTGTACCTTTAGTAGTGTAGAACTTACAAACTAACGAAATGAAATTGAAGTAGAGGGTTTTTCCAAAAGTCGTAGAACAAAAGATTCCTATATGGAACTGTTAAATGCAAATTAACTGATTTCATGACCCTAAAATACAGTTTGGATACCCACGAACAAAATTCAACACTCAGGAAGCGTTAGTTGTTCTGAGCTGGCAAAAGTGGCTATTGTCGTTTCTTAATAACTTTTAAACGTGATTTTATACAGTAACATGATATATACCAAAATTTAGGGAATCTCAAGGGCTATACAGTTTAAGGGCTAGTACTCAACCCAACAAAAAGTCGTCCAAAACAAAAACTTTATATGAAACAAAATTTTTTGACGTTGTTTTTCATATGAAGTTTCTTGTTTTGAACGACTTTTTGTTGGGTTGAGTACTAGCTCTAAAGTTGTAAGGAAAATCGTTAGAGCCCTTTTTGAGAAAATTAAAAAAAAAGCTTAAAAAAAAAGTTAAAAAAAATGTTCTTTTGTTCATATCATTTTAACTATTACATTTACACAAATTGCAAATAGAAGGCGTTTATAGCATTTAAAAATAATTTTCAAACAAGATGCAGCACAAGTCTGTAGCTTTAGTAGTATACAAGTAACGGCTTTCCGAATTTTAGCTATTTATAGCTGTTTTCCCGCTAAACTAGCGGGTTTTTCCAAAAGTGGTGGAACAAAATTTTTTTATATCGATGTGATGAACGTCATATCAAATTTTCAGAACTTAAAAAACATATTTTGGACAAGCGGACAAACTGACAAACAGAATTAAATTTTCATTTTGGGAAGAAGGATAAAATCTTATTTTGGCTATAACTTTTGAACGGACCCTTTTTGACATATGACCCCTCATTCGACGGGTATTTTCAAAGGGAACACAACATTGCGAGGGGGCATTTATCCCCACCGGCCCCAACAGCTCCAAATTTTGAAATTTTCACTTTTTCACTTTCACCGTTTTTTTGCAATACCTTTCGATAGGTGTATCATTCATTATGATCGGACCATCACAGTAGATTTTCATTTCTTCGTGTATATATAGTAGTCGCCTTCGCACACTTTCCTGGTGCGCTTCGTCACTACAAATATAAGTAGTAGCTATTCTTCATACACTTTCTTAGTGCTCATCGTCACTACGTGGACTGCCAACCACAATGATCGGCAGTTGTGTCAAGAGTCATGTAAAAAAAACGTTGGCACACCCAAAGTCAATTTGTTCCTTTTAATTCTTCCTAGTCTGTTCGATGTCATAACCAGTCATAACCCATATTATTTTTGCATGGGTTCGGTTCGGGGTTCAAACCTAATCGACAGATAATGTTCCGGTTTGCGAACCGGTTCAATGATGAGCCGGAGCAGGGTTCAGGTTCGAACCAGGGTTCAAAAAAAATTTTTTTTTTATGAAATAATAAAGTCAACATTTATTTCCATGTATTTTCATTGAAATACCATATATGTACCATATATACCTCCTACCTATCTCCTATCACCTAATCATGTAATTTAAATGTGGTCATACTGCGAAAAGTTTTGGAAGATGATAGTTATATATTATTAGATTGTTTGGGTTAGATGCAGTCTTGCATAGACAAAATATTTGCGCATTTTTATTTCCCTTAGTAGATAAACTCTATGTTAATATGATCAGAAAACCCCCCACAATGTTGAATAAAAAAACACGAACACACAAAATAAATTTTTCGTGAACCGAACCGAATATCAAAGAAAAAGTTCCGGTTCGGTTCCGGTTTAATTATAAAAAAACTTGGCGCTCCGGTTTACGGTTCGGTTTGTTTTCTAAAAAAAAGTGAACCACTCCGGTTTGGAGTGGTTCAGCTCCGGAGTGGTTCACAGCCCTGGTCATAACACACTGAATTTCCCTTTCTCTACTACAGGTATTGCCAGGGTGTTGAACCATCGACATAAGCTGGCCGAAAAGATTGCGATCACTAATGGCGATGATGCCAAAAGCGCCGGGTTCATAAAGTACGACCTGGAAGTTCGGGAGTCGGATGAGGTAATACCTTACCTGTTACCCATTGATCAAAAACATAAATAAACGGTCTTTCAGATTGTGTTTGCAAAGGCATTGGACATATTTAGTGGAACAGAGTATCAAGCACAGCTGGTTCTACGCAACCATATTCAAGCCGACAAGTTCAGTAACCTCGTAAGTCATTCCGGATAGATTCTCTTGGCTTTGTCTTGATCCGTAATTATTATCTTTAGATTGCCCAAAACGTTTCTCAGTGTGCTGGGCATCTGGATAGCATGCCGGTGGATGTATTTACATGTCGCCTCTCAGCCAAAGATTCGTTAGGTCGCCAATTACTAAAAGTGTACAAAGTAGAGGCTTTTTTCGATGCTAGCATCGGGCAGTATATTTGTCGAGCTGAGCTGCTCTCCAGCTTTATTGAGCTATTAGCCATTGTCAAGACTAACGACGTCTACTTGGAGCTGGAGGTAGGTCTTCCGCTTCTTGACTGAGTAGCAATATAATTATATACTTATTCTTTCCTTATCTGAAAATAGGCGAAAATGGCCAACGGTAATTTGGATAAAATGTCATTGAAATTAGTACCTGGTGTCAAGGTTATGCCCGAATCAGTGCGAGTAACCGATTTAAAGCCACAGGAGATTCATATTAGTGGTCTGGACAAGGCACTGCATAAGATTCAGGTGAGTAGTATTTATGTACCAACAGACAAAATTATGTATCTTATGTACAAATCGGTTAAATCTAAAAAATGGATAGCGATATAACCAAAGAAATAACTACTTCGACGAAAAGCAAAAACTTAGCTTTCAGGTAATAAGAAAGTTTTCGCATCTACCTTTCAGGTAATTTGTTAACCGATTTTTATAAACCATACCTAATATTATCGGTTGTTTAAGGGGGTTGTTATACCCGTTACTCGTAGAGTAATGCCCTTTCCTCACCAGAGCTGAATGTAGCATTTTGACATTTTTTGGTATATGTTACATTTTTCCCATATATTTTCAAGTGGTTCTACAGGTGGGAGAAAAGAGCATTCGACAATAAATGCTACTACCTTTTGATATTCTCGTGGCTAAAATACCAAATATCTGAGTATTTTTTGACTATCGACAAAACGGCCATCGCAAAATTTTCGAAATAATCAAGGCCCACTATAGATGATTTCTCTGCAGAAAAAAAAAATACGAATAATTGCAGTTAACAAAACCTGACCAATCTTTTGCCGCTAAGATTTGTCACAGGAAGTAAGAGGCAACAAACCACCATATCGATAAGACCACCGAAGGATTGCAAAATCAACAATAAAATGATCCCAAAACAAGAGAGAACGCTATAGTCGGGTTGTTGTCCCGACTATCTAATACCCGTCACTCAGCTAAAGGGAGTGCGAACGCTGTGTCGGGTTGGTGTCCCGACTAATAATCGTAACTCAGCTAAAGGGAGTGCGAGGGAGATAGATATATAATTTTTGATTGCGTATAACTTTTTAATGAATGGTCCGATTTGAAAAATGTCTTCTACATTTCGATCGGTATAAATATACACAACAAAATTGCATTTATACTTCTCGGAAATCTTTAAAGATGTGGGCGCAGGACCCATTTTAAAATCGTTAGTGGGCGATTGTGGGCGTTAGAGGGGGCGTGGCGCTCGGCTAAAATAAACTTGCGCTGCGTAGGAAGCCAAAGAATATGTGTGGGAAATCTCAACCTTCTAGCTTCTGTAGTTTCTGAGATCTCAGCGTTCATACAGACGGACAGTCGGACAGACGGACAGACAGACAGACGGACAGACGGACAAGGCTAGATCGACTCGGCTAGTGACCCTGATCAAGAATATATATACTTTATGGGGTCGGAAACGCTTCCTTCTAGCTGTTACATACTTTTGCACGAATCTAGTATACCCTTTTACTCTACGAGTAACGGGTATAAAAAGATTTAATGTGCATTGCATAGCAATATATAATGCAAACAAAAGCTTAAAAAAACATTCAAATCTTTATTGTCCATGGTCAATACATTTGATTGTCCAAATCTCCTGCTTGCGGATTAGTATTTGAGAAATTAAGCCCATATCTCAGGTTTTGAAAAATGTCTTCCTCATGAAAAGCATTCAACGCTTTCCTTTGTGTTTCCGTGCCTGCGCTGTTTCTCTAGCTGTTTCTGAATTTTCAGCAGAAAACACATGACAAAAATAAGATAATTTTTGTTAGCATTGAATATTTTGAATTTAAAAGCAAAGCACATCTGTTTTCGAAATAATAAATGCTGAATGCTAAATGCTTTCCCGTGCGGACAGGAAATAGCATTTTTTTGAATACCGAAAAAATACTACAGTATGTACATCAGTGAGGAAACGGCATTAAAGGGTATATTGTATTCGTGCAAAAGTATGTAACAGCTAGAAGGAAGCGTTTCCGACCCCATAAAGTATATGTATTCTTGATCAGGGTCACTAGCCGAGTCGATCTAGCCATGTCCGTCTGACCGTCTGTCCGTATGAACGAAAACTTTATAAGTTATGCTAAAACTAATATTAGTAGGGGAGAGGTCTGTAGGTTGGTACACCTTTGGTTTTTTATTTGCCAATCGCTTATGAAACTTCACGCAATAGGTTCCAATCAAACAGTTAGTCTTTTAATTTAAGGGGGGTAGGGTCTTTGGCACCAAAAAATCAACTAACTTTCCAATTTTTCCTATAAAAACTGGTTGGAAGGATTTAATTCAAACCTTTTGTATATTATTAAGTGTCTTTTAAATAACACCCACAAATTTTTATTGCCGATACTATCGGCTAATATATTGGTGGCAAAGTGATTGCTGGAACACTATTAAAAAAAAGACGTTTCACTGTACCTCCGCTAAAAATGATCGGATTTCCATTTTGTTTTTACATTTCGCTTAAGAATTAAAAAAAAAACTTGCCTCCTTGGAAGCCCTTTTTTTAATTTTTAATTTTTGAGAATTTTTTTCGATATTCCAATTTCAAAAATTTGTTTTTCACATAAAAAACTTGACTTTTGTCTTTAAAATAAAACATATTTAAAGTTAAAAAATAAAAAATAAACGCTTCCCAGGGGGCGGGTTTTTTTATCCAGAAAAATATGCGACAAATTTAAGAACGTTCGGTTGAGCCGTTTAATAATGCCGATGAACACGGACTTGCGAAACGTGGTTTCGAGAAAAACGCACTTACAGTGAGTAACATTAATATTCGGTTTTTATACCCTTGCAGAGGGTATTATGATTTTAGTCAGAAGTTTGCAACGCAGTGAAGGAGACGTTTCCGACCCCATAAAGTATATATATTCTTGATTAGCATCACAAGACGAGTCGATCTAGCCATGTCCTTCTGTCCTTCTGTCCGTCTGTCCGTCCGTCTGTCCGTCTGTCTGTTTCTACGCAAACTAGTCTCTCAGTTTTTGAGCTATAGGGATGAAACTTTCCCAAAAGTCTTCTTTCTATTGCAGGTAGTATATATGTCGGAACCGACCGGATCGGACAACTATATCTTATAGCTCCTATAGGAACAATCGGAAAAAAAAACGTTAAAAAATTCTAGCTTCGGTGTTTTTTCAAGTATTACCTTCTACTCTTGGGAATATTATTTTTTATATATTTCTGAATTTCGAATTAAATATTTTAAAAATCGGATCACTATATCATATACATTCTCTTCTACTCTGGGATATGATTATTTTAAATATTTCCGAATTTCGATTTTAATATTAAAAAGATCGAACTACTATATCATATAGCTGCCATAGAAACGATCGAAAAATTAATGTAAAATAATAGGAAATTTAACATTTTTGCGATTTGTAAATTAATAGGAAAAATCTGCAAGGATATATAAGCTTCGGCTGGCCGAAGGTAGCTTCCTTTCTCGTTTTTTTTAACTTTGAACGTGAATAAAAGGTATGAAACTAATAAAATCAAAAAATGTAATGATGCAGGATTAAAGCTTGTTTTATTACTTTTTCATAAATATATATATGTTATTACTTTTTTTTAAATTTAACTGAGAAACATGCACAAACGAATAAAGAGCCGAAAATTAAGGCAACATTAATATTCAATTTTTCCATTTTGTACTAAAAATCACAAAATTTATTAAGGAAATAAACTTAATTTGACATTTTAAATGCTAGCCTAAATGCTATTGTCTATCGTGTCCTTTAAATATGTTGGCATACATTGAAATTTTGTTTTGCATACTCCGAGCCAGGGTCACCTACTTAAAAAAAGGATGAGCAGGATAAAGTCAAAACAGTTAGCAAGGGTACAAAAAATTCTCTATTTTTTTTGTAGAATGGACGGCTTAGCCTACCACTTGAAATCCATTTCAGCACAATCCTATCATTCCACAAAGTCAACAAAGTCGCTTGAAAATTCATTATACCCTTGCAGAGGGTATTATGATTTCAGTCAGAAGTTTGCAACGCAGTGAAGGAGACGTTTCCGACCCCATAAAGTATATATACTAGTTTTCAAGCTATCGGGATAAAACTTTCCCAAAAGTCTTCTTTCTATTGCAGGTAGTATATAAGTCGGAACGAGCCGGGACGGACAACTATATCATATAGCTCTCATAGGAACAATCGGGAAAAAAATTAAAAAAATTGTATCTTGGGTGATGTCATTATACCCTTGTAGAGGGTATTATAATTTCAGTCAGATGTTTGCAACGCAGTGAAGGAGACGTTTCCGACCACATAAAGTATATATATTCTTGATCAGCACCAATAGCCGAGTCTATCTAGCCATGTCCGTCTGTCCGTCTGTCCGTTTCTATGCGAACTAGTCTCTCAGTTTTAAAGCTATCGCGATGAAACTTTCCCGAAAGTCTTCTTTCTATTGCAGGTAGTACATATGTCGGAGCCAGCCGGATCAGACCACTATTTCTTAAGGCTCCCATAGGAATATTCAAACATATATAAGAAAATTCATTGTTACTTTGTAGGAAGTAGGCGTTTTAATTCTTGACTACTTAAAAACAAAATTCAAAAATAGAAACGCTGAATCTGGAATCCCTGGTACTGCACCGAGTGAGTATTACTTTATCTGCAAGGGTATATAAGCTTCGGCTGGCCGAAGGTAGCTTCCTTTCTTGTTTTTTATCTAATTCTGAATTTCGAATACAATTTTTTCAAAATCGGACGACTATATCATATAGCTGCCATAGGAACGATCGAAAAATTAATGGGAATATAATAGGATATAAATTATTGCTTCGTTGATTTTTATTGTATTCTTTTTTACTCTAGAATAAAACTCTTTTCAAATATTTTCGAATTTCGATTTTAATTTTATCAAAATCGAACTACTATATCATATAGCTGCCATTGAAACGAACGCAAAATTAATGAGAAATAATAGGAAAACATTTTTGCGATTTGTAAATTAATAGGAATTATCTGCAAGGGTATATAAGCTTCGGCTGGCCGAAGCTAGCTTCCTTTCTTGTTTTTCTTTAAGTTTTGTATGGAATCAAGCAGCAAAATGCCTCTTCTGAGCGAAAAATTAAAAATAAAATTTTTTTTAATTACCAATAAACGACATTTTGAAAAATAGGTCCGTAAGCTTGGAAAATTTAAAAAATGAATAAAGCTCAAACTAAATGTACTTTAAACTTTTAGAAACTATTTATTTATGTTAATTTAATACATAAAAGGCTC